GTGCACAGCGCCGGCCTCGAAGGCGGGGTGCGCGGCCAGGCGCAGCAGGAAGTCCGCGTTGGTGCGCAGGCCGACGATCTAGGGAGAGAACAAACGAGGGCGGGAAAACAACATTCAGAAAAGCATCTGCTCTTCTTTCCTACGCAGGAAAAATGAGCCGGGATGCAGCTCCCTGGCGCCACCGCCTGCCTCGCAAGTGCAAGGGCCCGAGTTCGATCCCCAGCAGCAAAAAAACCAAACCAAAACAGAGCACAGCGGAACTAAGTAGGAAAAATGAAGCAAGTGCTGAAGTGCCGGGGCGGGGGTGGAGTCACTGCCGGCTGAGAAGAGGAGCCGACCTGCGGGAGCGCGGTGCAGCTCCACACCCAGCGCCCTTCACTAACAGCCATTCACTGGGGGCTCCGATCCGGGCCCGGGACGGTGAGGAGCGAAGCGGACGCCGCGCCGCCCTCACAAGGCCGTGGAGCAGCAAAGCCCCAGGAGAGCACCGCGGCCCGAAGGAAGCTCAGGCTGGCTGCTATGGGTTGGGTGTGGGGCCCACAGCCTTAGTGGTCACGGGCTGGGTCTAGTGCGCTCCGACCGATCTGCATCTGCGGTCGGCGCTGAGCTCCGGACACCAGGATTACGGGTGTGAGCGCGGCCCGCCCTAAGTAGCCGGGACGACAGGGGCCGGAGCCCCTGTTTGGGCTTCCTCCTTCCGCTGTGTGCCCTGCAATTTCTGCTCTGCGACGCCTGTTTGCCATCCCTGTCTTGGAGCCGACTAAGGCCTGAAACCGCCACGAACTGTAAGCCAAACAAACCCCTCCAGCCTTAGGTGGCGAGTATTTTGTCTCAGCAACAAGAGAAAAGTAACTAACACCCTGGCTAAAGTCGAAGACAAAGCAGCCAGGAAAGGAATGTGAGAAGTGAGCGGGGCTGCGGACAGTCAGGAGGGAGCCGGCGATGGAGCATACAGGGGAAGGACACTGGAAGAGGGGACACTGGAGGAGGACACTGGAAGAGAGGACCCTGGAAGAGGAGACACTGGAAGAGGGGACACTGGAAGAGGGGACACTGGAAGAGGGGACACTGGAGGAGGGGACACTGGAGGAGGGGACACTGGAAGAGAGAAAACTGGAAGAGGACACTGGAAGAGGACACTGGAAGAGGGGACACTGGAAGAGGGGACACTGGAAGAGGACACTGGAAGAGAGAAAACTGGAAGAGGACACTGGAAGAGAGGACACTGGAAGAGGACACTGGAAAAGGGGACACTGGAAGAGGGGACACTGGAAGAGGGGACACTGGAAGAGGACACTGGAAGAGGGGACACTGGAGGAGGACACTGGAAGAGAGGACACTGGAGGAGGACACTGGAAGAGGGGACACTGGAGGAGGACACTGGAAGAGAGGACACTGGAAGAGGAGACACTGGAAGAGGGGACACTGGAAGAGGGGACACTGGAGGAGGGGACACTGGAGGAGGGGACACTGGAAGAGGACACTGGAAGAGGGGACACTGGAGGAGGACACTGGGAGAGGACACTGGAAGAGGAGACACTGGAAGAGGGGACACTGGAAGAGGGGACACTGGAAGAGGACGCTGGAAGAGGGGACACTGCAAGAGGGGACACTGGAAGAGGACACTGGAAGAGGGGACACTGGAAGAGGACACTGGAAGAGGGGACACTGGAAGGGGACACTGGAAGACGGGACACTGGAGGAGGACACTGGAGGAGGACACTGGAAGAGGGGACACTGGAAGAGAGAAAACTGGAAGAGGACACTGGAAGAGGGGACACTGGAAGAGAGGACACTGGAAGAGGACACTGGAAAAGGGGACACTGGAAGAGGGGACACTGGAAGAGGGGACACTGGAAGAGGACACTGGAAGAGGGGACACTGGAAGAGGGGACACTGGAAGAGGACACTGGAAGAGAGAAAACTGGAAGAGGACACTGGAAGAGAGGACACTGGAAGAGGACACTGGAAAAGGGGACACTGGAAGAGGGGACACTGGAAGAGGGGACACTGGAAGAGGACACTGGAAGAGGGGACACTGGAAGAGGGGACACTGGAAGAGGACACTGGAAGAGAGAAAACTGGAAGAGGACACTGGAAGAGAGGACACTGGAAGAGGACACTGGAAAAGGGGACACTGGAAGAGGGGACACTGGAAGAGGGGACACTGGAGGAGGACACTGGAAAAGGGGACACTGGAAGAGGGGACACTGGAAGAGGGGACACTGGAAGAGGAGACACTGGAAAAGGGGACACTGGAAGAGGGGACACTGGAGGAGGACACTGGAAGAGGGGACACTGCAAGAGGGGACACTGGAAGAGGACACTGGAAAAGGGGACACTGGAAGAGGGGACACTGGAAGAGGACACTGGAAGAGGGGACACTGGAAGGGGACACTGGAAGACGGGACACTGGAGGAGGACACTGGAGGAGGACACTGGAAGAGGGGACACTGGAAGAGAGAAAACTGGAAGAGGACACTGGAAGAGGGGACACTGGAAGAGGGGACACTGGAGGAGGACACTGGAAAAGGGGACACTGGAAGAGGGGACACTGGAAGAGGGGACACTGGAGGAGGGGACACTGGAGGAGGGGACACTGGAAGAGAGAAAACTGGAAGAGGACACTGGAAGAGGACACTGGAAGAGGGGACACTGGAGGAGGACACTGGAAGACGGGACACTGGAAGAG